TCCCAAATTCCCTTCTGCTGACACATCCAGAGGGAAGTGGGAATTCCTTCAATTCCTGCAGCAAAATTCACCTTTTGGTGCCTCTCCAGCAACTCTCAGGAATCACCCACAGACACAAATCAACACTTAACAGGATGGACAGACAGCTTCTTAGTCAAATTAGTCTTCTTAGTCAAATTAGTCTTATATAAAGACTAATAACTAAACCTGAAACAATGGGACGAGAAATGTATCTAAGGTAAGGAGTTTCTACCTCTGCCATTAAATCAAGTAATGATGATTTAATTTGTCCAAAGATACATTAAACACATCATATCTTGCTGTTACCAGGAAAGTAATAACAACAAATAAAAGCGATTCTCTGGGAAATTATTTGGTGCTAGCAAACTATTGAAGAAAATTCAAAAATATAAAGAAAGAAATCTCTCCATAATCTCATTTCAGATTGAAGATGTCATGGTGCACCAAGTAAATCAAAACTGCTCTCAAGGTGGAAGGTGTAGAATTTGAAGGCATATAGCACAAAAAAGGCCCTCCTGCTGACACATCCAGAGGGAAGTGGGAATTTCTTCAATTCCTGCAGCAAAATTCACCTTTTGGGGCCTCTCCAGCAGCTCTCAGGAATCACCCACAGACACAAATCAACACTTAACAGGATGGACAGACAGCTTCTTAGTCAAATTGATATTTCAGCCTCATTTTGTTGTGATATTATTTGAGATTTCAAAGGCTCAAAAGCACAAACTGTGAAAATAAATTTTTTTTCACTCTTTCAGGAAGTGAAAAAACCAGCCTGAGACGATTTATGACAACATCAGCAGTGAGGAAGCAGCAAAACAATGAGCCAAAAGGAAAAATTCAAAAATTAAGCCCAGACAGCATGTAGATAAAGAGGCAAAGAAAATTGTTAAAGGAAACCAGATCTCAGGGGAACAGGAGGTCACTCATCCCACATTCAGCAGATGCTCTCAGCCTTCAGATTTACAGCTGCAAGACAAAACACCTCTGATGCTGAGAGCACCAAGAAATACGGCGCTGAGGAGAGAAATGAGATGTAAAAAGCAGCTCAAGAGGCAAAAAAAACCCCAAATGGGTTCAGGTGCCTCCTTTTCGAGCAGCAATTTCCCCAATCCTGGAGGAAATGTCCAGCCAAAAACCCTGCACTGCTCCAGAGCCAGACTGAGCCCATAAGCAGCCAGGAATGCAAAGTTTAGAGCAAAGAAAACAAAAATGCAAATGTGGGGAGGGAGGGGATGAGCTCAGATGTTGATGTTGGCAGNTCCAGGATGGAAAAATGCTCTGGAATGGGTTTGGGGACACACACAAAGCTCAGGCTGCAGGGACAAAAACCTGTGCAATTACAGGGAGGAAAAGGGATCTGAGGTCTGTGTGAGGGGAGAGTGCTGGAGGAGGTGAAAATGTTGAGTTCTAACCTAAAAATCCTAAAAAATTATTTCTACAGGACAAAAACCACCCCTGGGTCATGTTCAAGATCACAGGACAGCACAATCCTACATTGATACATCCATTCTAAAAAATAACACAAATACTTTCATGTCACAGACACGTTTTATGAAAAATCCTTTCCTTAAGATTTTTTATCCTGAGAAGCTGAGAAGCCTCAAAACTGGAATGCAAACATTGATTATCTGCTGCTGTAAAATGCAACAAGTAAATCTTTGATTGGTCCATGTTGGTTGTTTCTAATTAATGGCCAATTACAGTCCAGCTGCCCAGACTATCTGTCAGTCACAAGCCTTTGTTATAACTATTTTTCTAGTTTTAGCTGGCCTTCTGATGAAATCCTTTCTTCTATTCTTTTAGTATAGTTTTAATATAATATATATCATAAAATACTAAATTAAGCCTTGTGAAACATGGAGTCAGATCCTCGTCTCTCCCCTCATCCTCAGACCCCTGCAAACTCCACCACACTTGCATGCTCTTGTGGAAATTCACACAAAATGCACCATTTTCTGTCAGCACTAAGTAAAATTTTGCAGTTTATATTTTAACCAAAATCTCCTCTGTGTGTGTTGGTATTGCTCTTTTTTCATCTGCTGAACTCACAGAGTGTTTTTCCAGCAAGAGGTTTGGGTAAGGAGAGCAGAGTGCCAAGATCCGGCACAGAGAGCTAAAAAACCCCTTCAAACATCTGTGCCTGAGCAGAAGCAAATTTATCCTGAGGAAGGGATGGCTGAGGGTTACTGGGAAAACCATGAAGGAACAGCTGGACACACAAGCAGGGCTTTGATTCCTGCTGGAAATAGAAATCCCATGCTCCTCCATCACCCATGGCAGCTTTCAGTGCCTGAGTCTGGGTCTGGCTGAGGGAGGATTCCCCAAAATGGGAAATCACAGCCCCAGTGGGTGCTGTGAATCCCCACAAGGATTCCCATTGGAAAAGCTGAGAATAATCTCAAAATCTCTTAAATGATGCTGTTGTTCAATGAGCCCAATGCTGACTTGCTGCTGAATATTCATTTTGAAAGCTCTGGAGGAGACAAAAATTACAAAGCAAATCCTTCAGCCTTTCCTATTGCAGAGGTTTGTATCTGTTGTAGCTTTTGGCAGTCAAGAGGGAAAATATTTTCTAGAAGGAGTGAAGATTTTCAGCTCAACACTTCCTCAGCTGTGTTGATTTAAAGACAAAAAGGGCAATGTTCCTGACCAGTTCTTTTAAAATAATAAAAATATGCAGTGATTGGAAATTTGGTTATCCCAAAATTAGACACAAGATAGGATATCAGTGGCAGGAAGCAGCACAAGCAGAGCCAGTTTTCACTGAACCATAATTACAGAACTCCAGTTTAATAAAAGTTCTTTTCATGCAATGCAATTCACTCTAAGTTACAAATATGAAGCCATTCCAGCACTAAGACTGGAAAATGAGCTGCTAGTGGCAAATTCTATTTCCAAGTACAACATGGCTCACTGAACTGGAGCTTCAGCCAAAGCCTGAGGCCTCAACAAGGTAATAATAAAATTCATTCTGTGGGTTCAGAGCTGTAGTTTTAAAAATATCTCAGTTCTACAGTTTGAATTTTAGCAAAGTAATGATTAAAAACTATGGGAAAAACTGGTTTACCACACCTTAACTGTGTCAGGGAAATATCTGGCTTTGAATTTGCTCCATTTAACAAGGCAGCTTTCTGAAATGACTCTGGAATACCTGTTTGCACACACTGATGTTTTAAAAATCTTTAAAATTGATTTTTTTAAAATCTGCCTTTTAGGAAGGGTTTTTTTTGTGTCTGTAACACTAAAGAGACAAATCCATTAGAAAATGGATGGTAGTGTGTTAACTTGATTTTTTGAGTGGCAAAAATCAGTGGTAACAGAAGGATTTGAGACGATTTTCAGAATTTGCCAGAATTATGTTACCAATTCTCTCACAGGAGCACAGACATCATGTGCAGCCTGACATCCTGCAGGGCTGTGGAAGGAAAAACAAGAATTCCCTGGATTCCAGGCTGTTCCTCAGCTGCTGCTGTCTCCTCCCATGCACGAGCACAGCCTAGTGCTGAGGGCAGCAATGGCAGGGAATGGCACAGCCCGGGCAGGGCTGCAAATCCCGGGATTCTGCTATAAGGAAATGGGCTAAGCCTAATTAACAGCATAAACACGCTGCTTAATTGTTTCCCCTCTGATTAGAGGTGGAGTCACGGCAGGAATGCAAAGGGCAGGGAAGCAGTTTGGGGTGAGGGGGCGCTGCTGCCCCTTTAACCAGAGTGAACTGTGTGAGGACAGACCCCAATTAACACAAATTAAATCTAATCAGCCACTGCAGAGAGCTGTTAGCAGCACAGCCAGGGTCTGAGCAGCTCAGAGAGCACATTTTGGGGGGCCTTACCCACAAAGGAAGCAGCAAAGGGAGTCTGGAGCTCATTACTGTTGGTGGGAGGAGAGGTCATTGCAGGGATCACACAAGCAAGGTCCTGGCAGAGCAAACACTGCAAATCTTTCCTCTCTGCACACAGCTGGGATGAAATCCCTCAGCACCACCTGCATCCCACAGGATGGAAACCATCAAAGCCTTTTCATTTAACAAGAGGAGCAGTGTTGAAATGACCTTGGGTAGGAACCAAAGGCAGCTCCAAAGTGCCTGGGAGAAATCACTGCTTTAAGAGGTTTAACATAAAATGCCCTAAAGAGAAATTGCACCCCCTGTGCTTTCTGTGCTTTGGGGTGAAGGGGCTGCCTGACATTTCTGGCTTTAAATGCTGCATGGAAAAGATCAGAAAACAAAAAGTGCCACACAAAACAATTCTGAGTTTTATTCTGCAAAGCACAGAGTTGGGAAACTCTTTACCAGATAAAAGTTGTACAGGATGCTCACAAAACAAATGTGAATTTGTCACCTACACCGCTGGCTGGCTCTTCACTCTCATCCTGCTGCCACCATGCACAAGGAATGATCTGGGAATAATTCTTTTGCTTCAGTGCCTCGGGGAAAGGACACACAGGATGATCCCCAGCCCCAAAGGCTCCTCAGAGCATCCACAAAAAATGGAACAGTCCAAAAGCTCATTTAAAGCTTGGAACTGTCCCAACCTTCCCAGCTCACTGAACAAGCAGCTGTGGGAAGGTGAACATTTGGGTAGAGCTTCTATAAAAGTGCTCAGCACTGTGGGACACAGAATCTGTAGCTGGAAGTTTCTCTGTCCTAATTTAGATTTTTTAATATTTCACTCTAGGAGATGCCATCAAGGGGAGCAGTTGCAGTGAAGCAAACCTAAAGTGATAACACTAAGAGTTAACCCTCAGGTCCTGGTCAAATTCTACCTGAAAAAGTTTAGAAATGAGCTTTAAATAAGAATTAATACTTTGATTTTTAATGGGAGTTTTACACCAATATTATTCAGTTTGTTTTACTCTGAAAAATCCTACTCTGCTGGTTCTTCCTAAACTGCTGCCCTGCAGTGACAGCAAAGGTTCTTTCTCTTCAGAAAGGGCTGGGTTACATTTTACCAGAAGGGAAGGATGCTCACTACTACTCAGGAAATGTTTGCTGTCAACTTTAAGATCTCTCAGTGCAATATTACCAACTCTTTACATAGTAATATAAATAATATAAAAATCAATAATATTGAGCAATATTACCACCTTTTACACCTCTGGTATTTTTATTGCAGACTATTTTCTTTACTCCATGCTTCAAAACCTCCAGAAAATAATGAGGATACATCAATGAGTATCCTGCTGGATAAAATGAGGGTTAAACACTGATTTCCTGAGCTGGCAGAGAAAGCTGAATTCTCCAAGCACAGTTCCAGGGCAGGATTCCCAAGGAGCAGCAGAGCTGCTGGATGTGCCTGGCTGTAGAGAGGGGGCACTGAAAGCCCAACAAAAGCTGCCAATCTGCTCTGCACAGCCTAAAAACCTCCCTGCAGGGCCCTCAGTGTGCATTCTGTGGCCAAATGAGGGAAAAGCCTCTTTCCCAGGGGATGAACTCCTTGGGACTACAAACACACTCAGTGTGTGAAAAACTCCTCCTCTAAGTGAAGGAGGAGTCATTTAGAAGCACTAAATATTGGGGTTATTCTGCTTTACAAGTCAGGAGTGATCAGAGCTCTCCAAACAAGTGGCCAGCTGATTCCACTTTTATTTCCATCAGGCTTCAGTCCCAGAGCTCCAGGAGGATTGTGTGCCTCCAGACAAGCACTCACAGAGGGGAAAAAAGCCCTTGGAGTCTTGGAAGTGCAAAGGAAATATTTTTCTTTCCCAAAAATAACACCTGGGTGTTCAGCTCCACAGGAAACTGCTGGGGAGGGACAATATATATATTACTATTAAAGAGATAAATATTCAAGATTAAATATTAAAGAGATATTTAATATATATCTCTTAAATAACTGAGATCTGCATTTCAGTTCTTTAAATATTCTATCAACTAGGGGATGGTTGATAGAATATTTAAATAACTGAATAGCATATTTAAATAACTGAAATGCAGATCTCAGAGATCCTGCACTAACAGCACATAAAGATGGAAATACCCACCAGTGAAGGAAAATATGCTTGGCTGAGCATTTAAATGACATAAAATCCTTCAAATCCACGACTCAGATCATCCCACTGCCCACAGGATCAGTTTGTCAGCACTGATTGAGCTTTCCCTGCTGCTCAAGGCACAGCCCCACTTACTTGGTTAATTTGTGATCTTTCATTGCTGCCAGGAACTCCCTGACAGTCTCAGGGCTCTGGTACCTGCAGGGGGTTTTTGAGATGTACTTCAGTGTCTGCAAGGGACAGAAAGAAAACATGGATTATTTAATACATCTCTCATTACCAATTACTCATTCCACCAGTTGTTTATTGAACAAGTACTCTGAAAAGTCTCAAGAAAAACTGGACAACCAATTCAGGTTTGGAAATCAACTTTATCTGAGCTGTTCAAAGCACAAAACTGCAAGTTGAGGAATACAGGAAAGGGCTGAGTTTTAGCTCTGCCTGCTAAAAAATCCCTCTTGTGTTTGTGAGACATTTGCTTGGTTTGCTCCTTGTTTGGATTCTGTCTTTTAAAAGCACACAGGAAAGTTGAATTCACCCTAAACCCAAGTTTTCATTGCTCAGTGCCAGGAATATTCTGCCAGCCCAGAAATCTCTCTTTAAGATCTCCAATCTATCCTTGTTTTTAGCCTTTACCTGCATTTTTGTCAGTTTAAAGTTGATAGAAGCAGATTAAGAGGCTTGTGATGAAATCTACAAGGGGTTTTGCTATTCAAAATTAATTGAGACAATTAAACTTGGATCAGTTTTTTCCATGTAACACCTACCAACCTTAACTCTGACAGCAAAGGTTCCATTTATTTGCTTTATTTACAACAACAACATTGAGCAGGTGGATAAAAGAATTACATTACACAAAGCAATCTGAATTAAGTAAAAAACCCAATTTGTTGATAAAAAACCCCACAAAAATTGCAGTTCATAGCTGACCTTTCACTGGAAGTGACTTTAAGTCTTCCTAAATGTTTATTGTTGCTTGAATTAAACCCCAAAATGAAGAGTTGGAAATAATTATAATTTATTATTAATTTCTTTAAGCCTTGTCTGATCTTTCCAGATAAAATGAAGCTGTTATTCACCACCAGTGACTGAAATTAAATTATTATATTGTCATGTAAATTAATTACCTCACAGGAGTAATTTCTCTTCCAGGTTCATCTTTTTTTTTTTGGCAACTTCAAATCAATGAGAAAGCCAAAAATACAGAAAAACAAAACTTATTTTATGGAGTTACTTCAGTGCCAATGGATCCAAATCTGCAGGGAGCTTGTGAGGAAATCCAAAGACAACCCTATAAAATCAAATTTTGCTTTTCTTTCACTCAAACATAGAAAATCCACCCAGAACTGACACCAAGCACCTTAGAGGTATTTAACCCATAAAATAACAAAACAATTCAAGATTTCAGGTGCATCCTGACCAAATTTACTCACAGGATCTCCCTCAGCTGTTTCCCAGAGGTGCAGGAAGAGACTGGCAGGCTCCATGAAGATTTAATTCCCATTTTTGGTAAGCCCCTATTTTGTTGAACACAAGGCTCAGGAATTACAACCTCTGTACCTTTTTCAAACAAAGGCAGAACTAAAACAAAACCAAAGCCTGGGCCAGATCTTATCCACACCAGAGGGTTCAGGGCTCAACAGAATTACTCATGCAAGCAAAGGCAAAGAGCTTTCAGCTGCCTGCCAGCCACTGCTGCCCATGCAATTCTGCAGCTCTGGGAAGTTGCTCATTTATTTTAAATAAATTTGGATTTGTATTGTTAAGATTTGTATTAAAAAAAATGTTAAAATTCCTTCCCAGCAAGGGATGAAGTGTTTATTCCTCACCTGGCATCCAAGTGATGTTATCTGTATGGGGGGTTTGGCTTTTCTTTGGATCAAAAACCAATTTAGATGATCTGTTTTGGCTGGGAATGATTGATTTAGTTCTGTTAATTAAAAAATGCCATGTAATCTGTGCCTCAGCTTTGAAATCATCATCTTAATTATCACATTAGATGATATCACAAATTCATCAGATGATAGCAAGCTCTGCTCTGTGTCTTAAAAAGATGGGATTTTTAGAATTAAAAAAAAATCCTAACAAAATTAAACAGCTGAAAACCAGGGGGTTTGAAATATTGAAATTCTTTTCTAGATTTTAAGAACAGCAACTGCCTAACTCTGCCCTGACAGCACAGTTACCCTCCAACCACAGAAAAGTGCAGATAAAACATTTTATTATGGTTTGAATCGGGGGAAATTTGATACCAAATTATCAATACACAGCATTGCAGCTTGAATTATTGAATTATTGAATTATTGCAGCTTGAGCCAAGTGTAAATGGATTTTCCCAGTGCTGCTCACCTCATACATGATTGTGTTCAGGTTCTGCTGCCCAGAGCTCTGCTTGGTTTTGCCACTCTCCTTACGCTGCTGCTTGAGATCAGTGAGTAACTGGTACACCTAAAAATAAAAATAAAAATAAAAATAAAAATAAAAATAAAAATAAAAATAAAAATAAAAATAAAAATAAAAAGGTTTAGAGCATCTGAGAGCATTTTACCTACAAATATTCCAGCAGGAAATCATAAATGAACAGGAAATTCCTACCAGCCAAACAACAAAATTGTGAGGTTGTTCTGGTGGATGGACCAACAGCTGGAATGAGAAATGTTTTGGCCCCAGAGTGGTGAATAAGGATGTAAATATATTTTTTTTAAAGCTGTGATTATTTTAAAGAGATGAATGGAACTTTTTCAGGTGTTTTGCTCCAGGTTTTGCAGTATATCCAGAGTGTCCAGTTTTCGGCTGTTTGGAGGGCCTGGAAAGGCCCGGGGTGGCCTTGGGGCAGCCGCGTTTCAAAGGATGAGAAGAGGCTTCAGTTCTTTTCTCGGTCTCGGTGTTTATTAATTGTTTATCTAAAAGATTTTCTCTCGGCCCGACAGAGCTCTGCTCAGCAGCCAGCCATGAGCACACTCCCCTCCCT